TGGTGTTCAAAGTTGTCTAACTGGCAACCAATTTCTAGAAGCTAAGCTCGGGACTCCCAGTGGCAGGGATGCACCATGTGTCTCTGAACTTGAGAACTTGTCAGCTACCAGTAGCTATCAACAGATGAGACTCAAGACAGGGTCTGAGTGCTCTAGCCGACTCAGGATTGGCAGAAGCTCAGCCTCAGCTGCCCACACAGCCAAACTCCAGGCAAGAACAGAGAGGTGCTGTCCCTGTCGATGTTTGTCTTGGTCATCTATTGCCGAGGAGCAAGGAACTGTGAGATCTCAGGGACATAACCATAAGTGTTTATCTCGTGTGCAACTGCAGGTCAGCTGGGAGCGAGCGGTCTAAGTCAGGCCTGGTTTGGCCGCTCTGCTGGGCTGGCCAGCTTGGGTCAGGTCCAGAGCTTTCCTGCTGGGGCCCAGGCTGAAGGGCCAGCAGCCTCCTAAGGGAAGCCCTTCTCATCAAGGCAGAAGCACAGCTTCCTGCTTGAGGCACATTTCAAGTTCCTGTTTGTGTCATGTCTGCCAATGTCCCATCCCTCAAAGCAAATACAGAGCCCAGCCCCAAAGTCACAAAGCAAAACAGTGTGCCCTTCCCATGGGGGGAGGACTGAGGGCCGGAATAAAGATTTGAGCAACAATTTAATCTACCCCAAGGTTTTACCCTGTTTGTTTCTGACCGTGGAGGCGGTCCTTATCTGGAGCAGCCCCACACTGTGATGAGAGGATCTCCTGGACCAGTTCCCTATTCCCTTGGGCACTAATCGTGATTCACCACATTTATTCTTTGCAGATTATCGCTCCCCCAGAGCGGAAGTACTCAGTCTGGATCGGAGGCTCCATCCTGGCTTCTCTCTCCACCTTTCAGCAGATGTGGATCAGCAAGCCCGAGTATGACGAGGCAGGGCCCTCCATTGTCCACAGGAAGTGCTTCTAAAGTCAGAACAGACTCTCTAGGGTTCCCCTGGAGACTGCTCTGTTACCTGTCATGAAACATTAAAACCTGCAAAGCCTTACTTCTCGTGTGGAGCTTTTGTTTAACCCCCACCCTGGACTTTCACACAGTGCTGAGGGCTTTTCACACCTTATTACTCATCCACACAGTGATCCTGTGAGATGCGTGTAATCCCATATTACAGATGAGGAAACTGAGGCTCAGAGAAGTTAAGAACTTGCTAAAGACAAGCGTACCAAGATTAAAATCCAAGTGTGTCTGACTCTAAAGCTAGTACTCCTACTGTATTACCTTGTTTCCCTTTCCTTGAACATGAGTAAGAATGAGGGCTAGATGACTCTTGGTGGCAGGTAAAGAAACAAGGACTTTCAGAGGTGTAAGTCCTTGTACTCAAGGGCAACACACAGAACATAACCGGAAGGGGAAACACAAGATTTATAGGCTGTGACATAAGAGGGATTCAAGCACAATGTTTGAATTTGGGTGGTGGAATGTCATAATGGGCTTAAGATCTCTATGAGCCCCTTTGTTATTGAGGATTAGGCTGTATTTTGCCTCAAAACTAACCAAGAAAGGAGCAGCACCCTTAGGAAGAATTGTTTTTTCTTAACCTCCTCTCCTCCTCCTCCTTCCTCTTCTTCTTCTTCTCCCTCTCCCCATCTTGTTCTTGTTCTCCTTTTCCCCTTCTTCTTCTCCTCCTCCTCTCTCTCTCTCTTAGTCTCTTTCTCTCTTATTTGTTCCCCACTCCCTGCCCTTAGTCAAATCTGTTAAAATGTCACAAGTATTTACTGAATTTTGGGCATCTGTTATTACTGGGTAAGGCCACATGGGACTTATGTACCCAGCAGAGATGATTCCTGCCCATGAAAGTATCATTGCATAAAAGGGGGGGGGCACATACACGACAATGATTTAAGGTGAAATAGAAGCACCCATAAAGTACAACAAGAAAACAAAGGGTAGGGGCACCTGGGTGGCTCAGTGGGTTAAAGCCTCTGCCTTTGGCTCGGGTCATGATCTCAGGGTCCTGGGATCGAGCCCCACATCGGGCTCTCTGCTCAGCAGGGAGCCTGCTTCCTCCTTGCTCTCTGCCTGCCTCTCAGCCTACTTGTGATTTCTCTCTCTCTCTCTCTGTCAAATAAATAAATAAATCTTTTTTTAAAAAGGGTAATAATGATAGCATTGGTCGAGTGCTTATACTATGCAAGGCCCTAGGTTAAGAGCTTTCCATGGACTCCCTCACCATAACCCTATTAGCAGGTACTAATATCATTCCCATTTTATAGCTAGTTTATGAGTTAATGTGTTCAACCCAGCTAGTTAATAGCAGAACTAGATTCCCACTTTTGCCTGGTGTACCCTTCACTATCTCTACCTACTCACGTCCCACCTTGATGCTCCTGAGCAGATCCCACTTGGCTGTGAGCCTTCCCAGACACATCTATTTGGAAACAGTGGAAGTACACAGACCTCAACATCAAGACAAGTTTCCTCTGCCATCCCTGCACTTGCCCTCCGAGGTGGGGCAGAGAAGCATGTTTTACAAAACTCCCTAGTGGACTTATGTCTAAGACAGGTTTCCCAAAAGCAGACCCTGAAGTGAGGATACGCAGGCAAGTGATTTAACAAAGTGCTTGCTGGGGAAACCAGTGAGCAGAGTAGGAAATGCAGGACAAGAATGGGGAGGAAGCCCAGCAGGGAACCTCTCAGACAGAGTTCCACAGAGGATGGCTTACCTGGGTCCCCAGGCATCTCTGGTGTAAAAGCCTGCCTGGATGCAACTGGGCTTTCACCCTGGCCTATCAGTAATTGGGGAAGGCACACTCTGAGGGAAGGTAAAGTCCCAGGGACTTTCCACAGGGACTGGGAAAGGGCTCCAGGAGGCCAAGGGCAGTCTTGCAAAGAAGAGCTGCGGGCACTGGCTGTTGGGAGAGAAAGCATGGGGAGGAGGCCAGAGGGCAGCCACACACACACACACACACACACACACACACACACGCACACACACAAAATGGGAGGAAATGTGGAGCACTGACAAATCCCTACTGTAGAGGGATGCATCAGAGTCTCCATGTGGGGGAAGGTGAGGAGGCTGACCTGTTGTTCCTCACCCTGCCCCCACCCAGTCTTGCCCCACTTCAAGAAGTGCTGTCCTTGGGACTCCTGGGTGGCTCGGTTTGTTAAGCGACTGCCTTCGGCTCAGGTCATGATCTTGGAGTCTCAGGATCGAATCCTGCATCGGGCTCCCAGCTCCACCCGGACTCTGCTTCTCCCCCTGGCCTTCTCCCCCTCTCATTCTCTCTCTCTCTCAAGTAAATAAATAAAATCTTAAAAAGAAAGAAAGAAAGAAAGAAATGCTGTCCTTGAAGTCATTGGAAGTCAGGTCATATGCTGATAGTGAGGAGGACATGGGTGCGTTACAGTGGTCTGAGGAGAGAGGAAGTACACCAGAGAGTCAACTAAAGATAAACAGCAGTAACGTCCCGGGAACCGAGTGTCAAGCTGAAGGCAGCCATTACTGATTATGGAAAGCACGTTGGATGGTAGCGGTGTGACAGGAGGTAAGTGCTGCTTGTGGGTTATATTTCGGAATCCTCACTGCCAGCTCTCAGGAGCCCACACCCTTAACTACTCCTTAAATGTCCCTGATGGCAGAAAAGGCAGAGAGGCTTTCCCAGTGCCAAGAGCCTTTCTCAAACTTTTTTGGATGAGTATTTTCCGAGTCTGAGTTTACATAATAAGAAATGTAGGCAGTATTTTGACACGGAGGTGGCTGTGAGAGTGGGAGCAGAGGATGGGACAGATTTTAACTGTTCCACTATCCATCGGTGCTTCACCCAGGTTATCCTAAATAAATTTATAACATATATTTTTAAAAATGTGTTTAATATACGAACATCATTTCAACCATCCCATATAAACATCAGTATAAGAAGAAAGTCTTGTGCTTTTTATGCAAGACTGGTGTCCCAGCCACGGACCCCTGCCCAACCCCTTGCAGTTGCGTCCCCGTTTCCTGAAACCTCCCACTTCTAACAGTGCTGCCTGAAGGCCGGTAACTGTTGGACTCTTGCTTTGACTCTTCTGGTTTCAGCGGTGGGAGGTGGAAATACCCTCTGACATTTCATAAAGCGTTAGTTCTGAGGTCGTTATGACAATGGGGTGTGGCAGGACAAAGCCAGTCAGACCCTCAGCTGGGGGCTACAGCTCAGAACCGACCCTGCCTCTCCTCAGAGCACAGCTCTCCACCCACGGCTGGACTCCAGTTTTAAACAGCGGCGAGTCTCTACCCGGGTTCTGCTCAGCATTTGAGACAAATCCCGTTCGCAATCCCCACCGCTCCAAGTCAGCCCGGCTCCTCACCCCCGCGGTTGTTCACGCCCACAGAACCTAATCTATTTGTTTTAAACGAGTTCCACTCGGATCCTGAGCCTCCACCCACTTCAGCCTAATGGGCTTTTTGGCTACTATGCAAATCGACCGGGCGAACCCTTATTCATTCAAAAGACAAACTAGGAGGTGGAATGTACCGAACTAATTTGATTAATTCGATAATGTGCCAACATTGTGTTGCGCGTCACGGTTGAATGGGAAAAAGTTAATGTGTACATCAACAGATCGTGTCATTTTCCTTCTTGAAATAGTCCAGTTGCTACCCATATTAGAATAAAAGGCAGACAACTGACACCTGGAAAAGCCTCGTTCGCAATTACAGTTACTTTGATTTGTCTTTAGTTATGACTTATTGTAAAGTTACACAAAAATGCAAAGGTGATGAGATTGGTGAGTTTATGTCTCTTTTACGATGTTACTTGTTCGGCAAATACCGACAGGCTAAGCCGCCGTGACAGATGCAATTACTAATTCTCCCGCACCCCACCCGGCACTGGAGGTCTTTCCATCTAGCTTCGCTCCTGCACAAACTTCGCGAGAACAGAGCCGCCCCTTTGGCCCCACCCCCAGCCTGCTCTACCCCACCCACTTCTTGCCTGGCGATCTCCTGACGTCATAGGCGCGCCCGAGCGCTGGAACGGCTGTACCGAGGGCGGAAATGCTCGCGGCGGAAGTGGTAGCTGCGCAAGTTGTGGGTGGAATGACAGCGGGCCGGCTCCTTCGAAGGCTGTTGCGAGCACCTTCCAGCTCCATGGTTCGGAGCGCAGTCCGTGGCGTGTGCCCCTCCAGGGGCTTGCACGCGGAGTGCGGGCCTCGAAGGCTCTCCATCGAAGGAAATATTGGTAAGGGCCGGAAAGTGGCTGCTAACCTGAGAAGCTGAGCAAGGGAGCTGGGCCCAGACCCCCCTTCCCTGCAGTCTGATGCCACGGGGCCTTCCCCCTCCTAGAGAGGCCTTTGCTTCTTTGATTTTTAGGGTCAGACCTCAGTACTCTTCCACAGCCACGAAGTCTGTAGATAGGACAAGAGTTCTACCAGCTTGTTTTGATCGAAATGGATGCGACAAGGAGCAGGGTGTAATTTCTTTGTTCGCCTAAGATAGGGTTACCAGATTTAGTGGGGGGGGGGGGTGTGCTCATTTAAAATAGGATTTCAGATAACGAATACTGTTTTAGTGTGTGTCCTACGCAGTACTGGGGACATACACTAGAAAAAAAAATTATTACTAATCTACAGTTAAAATTTAACTGGTGTCCTGTATTTTCTCTGGCAGACCTACCCTAAGAGTTCCTAAAATTCTTTCAGTACCACTTACACTAATTTTACCGTGTCTCTCTTCTAGTCCCATATAATTTCTTAACGTTTTTCTTAGAAGAAAGTCACTTTTTAAACTTAAAACATGTAGAGACCCAGTATCTTAAATAAAAAAGTAATCATACAACGAGATGAAAGCCAAACACTTCAGTTCACTGTTACTAATTTCTGACTTGATGCTTCTGCTAGCTAAGGTGCTGAGCCCTAAAAAGATTAGCAGGTGTTGAGTATTGAAGACATTCTAGCAGCAAATTGAGAATTTCTCATTTTAGTCATTCAACAAATAACCGTTTGAGCAACTTCTGTATGCCGGTACTGTTCTTGGCCCTGAGGATACAGCCCCAAACAGAGCAAATTAAAAAATCTCTGCTCTCATGGGACTCTAGTAGCGATAAATAATAAACAATATAAATTAAGTAAACAGTGTATTAGGTAGTAATGAATGTGCTGGAGAAAACTCAAGGATGAGCGATCGAGGGAGATGGCAGTTTTAAATACGGTAGTCATGACAAGCCTCACTGAGAGGGTGACATTGGAACAAAAACCAGAAGAAAATGAGGGAATGAAACCATGTAGGTAACCAGGAGAAGAATCTCCAACGCAGAGGAAAGACCGAGTGCAAAAGGCCATAAGGTGGACAGTGTGTTCAGGGAACAGGAGGAAAGCTATTGTGGCTGGAGCAGAGTGAGCAAGGGGGAGAATGGAAGGACGTGAGGTGAGAAGGTAGGGAATAGCTTAATTGTCTAGGCCTTTAGTCCATGGTGGATTTAAATAATGAAAAGGTGACTGTGGCTGATTATGTTGAAAGTCGAAGGTGTCACGAGGTTACTGCAGTGATGAGTTGCCATGAATTGGAGCAGGGTGGTAACAGTACTGCAAAGAGGCAGTTGGATTCCAGTTACATTTTAAGGCAGGGCAGACTGGATTTGGTGTCAGATGTGTGGAATGTGAGATAAAGACAAATCATTTTGGCCTGAACAACTTGAAGAACGGAGTTCCAAATTTTCTTAAATGGAGAAGCATGGGAAGAACAGACTGGGGGCGGGCAATGGTTGCAGGGGTCTATCTTTAGGCATATTAGGTTTTGATGTGCTTATTAGATATCTAAGTGGACATGTTGAAGAGAGAGTTGGATGTTTAAGTCTGGAGTTCAGAGTCTCCCTGCATTGTAGGTATAAATCTAGATAGTATTTGAAGCCAGGAGACCTTGTGTGTTGATGAAAAGGACTAAGCTATGGGGCACCCAAATGTTCAAGAAGTTGGGGAAGGAACCAGGCAAAAGAGACTGAGAAGGAATGACTACTGAGGTCAGAGCAAATCCAAAAGAGAATGATATCTTGGAAGCCAAATGAAGAAGGTGTTCAGGGGGTGGGAATGTTCAACTGTGTAATGCTGTTTAAGTAACAGAGCTTTTTGGTGAACTTGAGAAGAACAGTTTTTAGGGCCAGTAAGGATGAACGTCTGATCAGCACAGGGTCAGGGAAAATGGGAGGTGAGGAACTGGAGATAGTGGATTAAGACAACTGGAAGTTTTCCTAGAAGGGGGAGGTATGGAGTGGTAGCTGAAATGGGGAGGGTTTTGGGGGTTTCAGATTTTTCTTTTTGTGAGAGGAATTAGGTCATGTTTGTAAGCTGGTGGAAATGGTCTAGTGGGGGGGGATTGGTGAAGCAGGAGATAAGATGTAATTACTGGAGTGATTTTAGTAAGCAGGAAGGAGTGGAATCTATTGCTGAAGCGGAGAGAGGTTAGCTTAAGTTCGGAGCGCTCTCTCTCCCTAGTAACTGTGAATGGCAACAGAAATGAGTATGACTTGAGTAGGCGTGATGGGAACTTGGGGAAGGTCTTTTGGCTGTTTTCTCAGCGAATTAGGATGAAGGCTCAACTAAGCAACATGAGTGTGAAGAGAGAGAAAAGACATGAATTAGTCTAGTGAGTGAGCAAGAGAAATGTAGAGCTGCCAGTTAGCATTAAGGACCCACTTGGACTTAGTGGTCATGAATTTAAAGTGAGAATAATCACCACATCTGTTTTTTGTGTTTCTCTAGCCAAATCAGAAACATCAAAAAGACTGAGAAGGGAAGGGTCCTGCTCCCTGCCTCATGGTGTTGAAGATGTCCGTTAGGAAACATGCCTCTAAAGGAAGCTCTGTTCTCAGAAAACAGAGAAGTACCAAAGTACTTCACACAATAAGTACTTGGACAGACCATCAGGCAAAGTTTGAGCTCCCTCTCCCAATTTTCCTGACCTTTACTCTTAGCCTTTCTAGATGGGTCTACTTCTTCCTTGCTTTCACTCGGATCAGGACTTACTGAGTACCTGCTATGAAGGTAGACTCCCCTGTGGTACAGTTCCTGTCCTTTAAGGAGCTCGCAGCCAGGTGGAGGACTTCTCAACATAATTCCTGTACCATGTGATGAGTGCCATGATTGTTTGGGCATGGGAACTCAGAATCCCTGGGGTAGGAATTCCCAAGAGGGAGATGAGGCAGGAATCCTCCAGGTACAGGAAGTCACATTTGCCAAGGCAAAGCCTGAAGAGACATGCAGTTTTAAGAACAGGAGTGTGCCCGGAGGGCAGGGCGAGAGGCCGGAAGGGTAGACTTGCCAGATGCTGAACAGCCTCTGCAGCAGGCTATGCTAGGAGTTTGTTGTGTAGGTTGTGAGAGGCTACTGAAGACTTGAGGCTGGCGTGTGCCATGGTCAGATTCATTTTAAAAAAGAAATTGGCCAGAGGGGATGAACAGAAAGCATGCACTTTCTTTGTACGTCTTGTTTGCTGCAGTACCCATAGTGCTGTGCATCCATCATGAGGAGTGAATGAGAAGGAATAGAATTTGGAGTAGACAGACTAGTTTTGTGGCTGTCGTTGTAGTAGTTGAGAGTGTGGGAAGATGCAGGCCTGGACAGAGGGAATGGAAGGACAGAGAAGAATGGCATTTTGAGAGGGATTTTGGAAGTGGGATTGACAGGACTAGGTGGCCACTTGGAGGTGAGGGATAGAGGCATAGAGGATGACAGTGAGATTGTAGTTTGGACATGGAAAACTGAGGATGGAAATAAAGGAAGAAGTTTGGGGAGGTAAGACATACAGAGATAGATGTTCAGAGGTAGATTAGGACATGTGCCTGAGATCGAGAGATGGGACCAAGATTTCAGATATGGAAGTTGTGGATTGTGGGGGTGGTTGTTGGAGCCTTGGAAGTACGTGCACTTGCCCAAGGGAAATGTGACTAATGGCAAGTGGACTGGGGGCCCCTAAGCTGGCTGTTTCTCGTTTTACCTCCTACTGCTGTCCGTCACCCCACACATGGTGATGACTGTCCTCAGGCAGAATTAGTCACTCCCTCCTCTGTGTGCGCTCATAACGTTTTGTTCCCACAGCAGCTGCAGCGCTTGAGTTCTGTGGGGATTGTTTGCACACTCAACACCTTCCCCAGGTTGGCCACTTGGGTCTTGCTCATCTTTGCATCACCAGCGCCTAAGCCCCTGCCTGACCCATGGTATTCTTTCCGTGTTTGCCAGATGCCTGACTCCTGCGCTGATACCGTGTGGAAGTTAGTCGCTGGTGCCCACAGAGCGAATATTTTAAACTGCTTTACAATCAAGTCAGGAGTGATCTTGTTCTCTAATCACAGGTGGTGTCCCCAAACAAAGCAGTACCTCTCCAGGACACCTGAACACGGGAAGGTAAACCCCTGTCCTGACTGAAGTTAGATATGTCTAGAGGGGCTTTTCTTGTACTCGTGCTGCCCCGAGTCCTGTTGATCTGATCCTCTGAGTGAGACCACAACATGGAAGGAAAATGGGTCCGTGAAGTAGCACCCAGTGGCGCCCAGTATGAGTTAGGAAACCATATGCCAAGTGTGGTTGAAAATCAAAAGTTTGGTGCCCAGAATCCCTTAAGATCTAAGAACTAAAACACTTAGTCCATCTTCTAAGTGTATTCATGGCTACAGTGAGTATTATTGCCTCCCCAGACCAGTTACTTTATAATTATAGACCTCAGGCGAAGAAAGGATTGCTGTATGAGATACTGGCAGTGAGTCATCTCAGACCATTCTCACTTTGATTTTCAAAGACCCAACAGAAAAAGAAGAACTTTGTCACTGTTACAGTCTAGAGACTTGTACATAAAACAGAGGAAAGAGCTTTTCTAATCGCATGTTCCGTATGTTCTAATGTCACTAATGTGCATCTATTGCTTTTATTGCATATAAACAATTGGGCAAAGAATTCGAGGGAAAAAAAGGCCTATTCTAAACATTGTATATTGGAGTCTTTGTTTCCTTGATTTCACCTCATTCCATCCATCTCCATTCCTGTTATCTGGTTAGATACGTAGGATGCAAAGGGAACAATTCAGTGTGCGTCTTCAGAAAGCAAGTGGAGAGAGTGACAGGTCACAAGTAATTATAAAGTAATACCTTGGTAAAGTCAGAGCAGGCAGGGGTTCGCTCTGCCTCCCGGGTGAAGTGGAGCTGGAGAGAGTTCCAGAAGGCTTCACTGAGAAGGTGACAGTGAAAGGATGAAT